GACAGTTCTCTAAAGAAGAAATTCAGATGGCCAACAGACACATGAAAAGATGCTCAACATTGCTAGTCATCAGAGAAATGCAAATTAAAACCACAGTGAGATATCACCTCACACCAGTAAGGATCACCACCATCCAAAATACAAACAGCAACAAATGTTGGCAAGGTTGTGGAGAAAGGGGAACCCTCCTACACTGTTGATTGGGAATGTAAATTAGTTCAACCACTGTGGAAAGCAGTATGGAGGTTCATCAAAATGCTCAAAACAGACCTACCATTTGACCCAGCAATTCCAGTCCTAGGAATTTACCCTAAGAACGCAGCAATCAAGTTTGAGTAAAACAGATGCACCCCTATGTTTATCGCTGTACTATTTACAATAGCCAAGATATGGAACCAACCTAAATGTCCATCAGTAGATGAATGGATGAAGAAGATGTGGTACATATACACAATGGAATATTACTCAGCCATAAGAAGAAAGCAAACCTATCATTTTCAACAACATGGATGGAGCTAGAGCATATTATGCTCAGTGAAATAAGCCAGGCAGAGAAAGACAAGTACCAAATGAGTTCACTCATATGTGGAGTATAGGAACAGAAAAACTGAAGGAACAAAACAGCAGCAGAATCACAGAACCCAAGAATGGACTAACCGTTACCAAAGGGAAAGGGACTGGTGAGGATGGGTGGGAAGGGAGGGACAAGGGTGAGTAAAACATAAAGGGGGCATTACAATTAGCTTGTATAATGTAGGGGTCGGTACGGGGCGGGCTCTACAACACAGAGAAGACAAGTAGTGATTTTACAGCATCTTACTACACTGAGGGACTGTGACTATGAAGGGGTATATTGAGGGGGACTTGGTGAAGGGGGGAGCCTAGTAAACATAAAAAATAAATAAATAATAATAAATAAATTAGCTCCAGGAAGACTTCACTGACTTCTTCATACATGATCACTCCTCTATTTTCGCCTACACTTTGTATCTAGCTTCTTAACTGCACTTATCTCAAATTATTGTAGTAATTTATTAAAATGTTTTAAATCCCGTTCCCCTTCCCTCAACTTCATTGTGAGCTCTTTGGGTAAATGAAATGTGTCATATTTATGTTTGTATCCCAAGGACCTGATAGAGTGCTTATTCTGGAGCAGATGCTCTGTAACAAATCTGTTGAGGACTTTATGTCTCTAGGAACATTTACTGAGTACCTACTATGCACAGAAAGATATCCTAAGTATGAGAAGAAATAGAAGACAGTCTTTGCCCTAAGGAAATCATCATTACTTTTTCCCCTGCAGGTAGGGGGGCAGTACACACTTACACGGCAACTTTTTATTTCTGACATAAGGGCTGTTGCAAAGATTTATGGCCATTTCAGCCTCAAATCCACTTAGGAACAAGGCACTGCATAATCACATAAAGCAACAGGCAATTTGTCCAACAGATATGTTTTTAGTGTGATACAGAGTCCACCAGAATCCAATTCTCTGTCCCAGCAAAGGGGGTGTCACCTGTTCCGGCCTACAAATTAGAAAATTGAGATGATACCATGCTTGGAAAATTTCTAATACATCAAGAGGACGTAAAGTTATTAGTCCTTTCATAATTTCTCCTCCCTTCCCAGGGAAAAATGATACCAAGAGCAATTAAATGGATTTAAAGAGGGCTCTAGAGATGGAGGAGATTGCTCTCTTTTTGTTAGTAGTAGGGGAAGGGGGTTGCTTTTAAATCGAAGGGTGGCGATGTTGCCCCAGGAAGATCAGGAGAGGTGATCTGTTATCATTTACTTACTACTCTTAAAAGGCTAAGGTGTTAGTTAACCTGGTGATTTCAGGATCAGACACTGCACATATATAAACAAATTGGGGAAAGGTGAACCACCTAGGCTGGAGAACAGGGAAGGCTGACCAAGGAGGCCCAAAGGAAGCCTCATTCTTCAGAGTCCAAGTCACTGTCCCCAGCAATGGAGTGGAAATCCTCACTGTCCTCCTCGTCCTCTGACAGTTGGACCTGGCTTAGTGTGCTCGGCCCAGAGCACTGCTCTTCCTCCTCATCTTCTTCTTCCTCTGATACCTCAGACCCACCGATGCTGCTGACGCTTGTGTCTCGGGTGTTCGACTTGGGATCAGGCTCCTCATAGCTTCCATAACTGAGAAAAGAAACATGTCATCTCTCAAGCTCAGGCACCATCCTCTAGCTGACCAGTCCCATTCTTGGTGCCACCAAGGGATCATCCCATCTCACCTCCCCTGGACACTAAAATGACTGATTCTGGGCTATTCTACAGACCCGAGAGAAAAATGATCCTCTTCAAAAACATCAACTAGCCAGCTTCATATACACAAGCACCTGAATGGAACTCCCCTACCTCAATGAGACACTTCCTGCTGACATGACCATAAATGCTGACAATCTGTTTCACCTACCACTTACAGCATCACTGATCTACGAATCCAGGTAGTCAACAGCACCCAAGATTCTACCTCTTCAATATATCTTGTCTCTACACCCTCCTTTCCATCCCTACTCTGCCTCACTTAGCTTAGTCCTTTGTTTTCTCTGGCCTGCACCACTGAAATCCAATTAATTCTTCACACTTCTGCCAGAGTGCTCTTTATTTTTTGTTTCTTTGTTTATTCTTAATTTTACTTTAAAAAAAAAAATCAAACAAGTAATGCAAGTTCACTAGTCAAAAAGTTAGAATATACACCACAAAAAAAGAAAAAAATCACCAAGTAACTCCACCACCCAGAGATAAAACTTTTGGTATACGACCTTCCAATTTTTTTTTCTAGCACTTTGCTTAGATACTTAAAACATTTTTTTTTACAAAATTAGAGTACTCTACATACTCCTCAGGAGTCTGCTTCTTTTTTTTTACTAATAATTATGATGAACAGCTTTCCATGTCAATAAACACACATCTATAGCAGCATTTTAATAGCTGCATGGTAGTCCATGTATGGCTGAAACATGATTTACCAGTCTTTCCCTGGGACACTTAAGCTGTCTCCAATTTCCTATCAGAAACAATGCTGTGATGAACATCCTTGTACAAACATCTTGATGAAAGTGTTTTACTCTTCCATAGAATAATTTCCTAAACATGGAATTTTGGGGACTAAGGGGATGCACATTTTTAAGTTTTTGATTTATAATGATAAATTGTTATACCTCTCTTCTGCCCACCCCATTTTATCAATTTACATTTCCACCAGTCATTTGCGAATGTCTTTTCCAACACTGGGCATAGGCATTATCATTCATTTTAATCATTTTAATCATTGTCAATCTCATAGGTAAAAAATTACATTTCATGGTTTTATTGCCTTTCTCTAATTCTTATGGAAGTTGTTTTTTCATATATTTATTGGCCATCTGCATTTCTTTTGTGAATTATTAACTCAAGTATTTTGACCATTTATCTTATGGGGCACAGAGCAATCTTTCCAAAATGGAGACCTGATCATACTATACCCTCACAATCAGTGTCTACCCAAAACGTCCAGGCCCTCATGACTTAGTCCTTTCCAACCTCTTTAAATGATCTCTATCACATGAATAATGGATCAAAAGCTCCAGTCACATGAGCTACTTGCATTCTCTACAAGTGCTTCATGCCTCTGTATCTTCCAACAAGCTATTCTTACTCTCTAGAGTGCCTTTTGCTTTCTTCATCTAGCTAATTCCTACCCTGATTCAGCTCAGCTTCTTTCTCCACCCAGCTCCTTCCCTACTCCTACCCAAGTCCCAGAAAACCTTATTGCTACCTATCATAGCACATTTCGTGTTGCACTGTGACTGTTTAGCTGTTTTAGGTTTCCCACTAGACTGCATTCTTTCAAGGAAAGGACCACATCTTAGTTGCTTTCATACTTGTGGTAAGTATTTGCTAAATGAATAAAGATTTTTAACTGTTTCCCAGACACCTCTGCCTACATACATCATAAGTACCTTAAATCCAACATGTCTAAAAACAAATTATTTTTTTTCTTCCTTTCCCACCTCATCTAATACTTGTTCCTACTCTGTCCTACACAGTGAAATTTCCATTCATTATATACCTGATCTCCTTACCTCCTAAATCCAATTGACCTACTCTCCAAATAGCTCTTGAACACATCCCTTCCTTTTACCCCTGCTTCTAACTGATCCCAGTTGAGATCCTCATCATTGTCCTGGAATTACTTATTTAGTACACAAATTTGATGTTGCTTCCTTTTTCTCAAAGTGATGATTCCTATTACCCGAATCTGAAATGTCTGAGCATGCCATTTAAGATCTCTACAATCCAGTCCCTTGCTACTTCTGGAGGCACAGCTCCCAACACTGCTGCTCTGGAGCAAACTTTGTAATTTTTCTGTGCCTTGAATCTATTCTAACTCTAAGAGTCTCCTCACCTGCTGCCACTTACAGTAGACTCCTATGCATCCTATAAGGCCCAGTTCAAATGATCCCTTGTCTGTGAAACTTTCCCTGATTACCCCAAGCAGAGTGATAGACTCCCTTCTCAGTGATGACTTTGTACTTTATACTTAACTTAAGCTATAGCACTTATTACATTGCATTTGTAATGATTTTGATTTTATCAGTCTCTTCCAGTAGACCTTGAGCTCCTCAAGGGCAGAATAGTCTTGCTACTTTGTATCCCCAAGGGCCTAGCAGAGTACCTGGCCCTAGTAGGTGGCTCAGGAAATGTTTGACGGATGAAAGAAATCTGATGCTGGGCCTTTTGACATCATAGCTGGGCAGTGATGCCACAGCCCTGTAGCATGTTGTGGCCGATTACCTGATGTTGCTATCCTCCAGATCAGGAGAAGCCTCCCCACCGTCTCCCTCACAGGATATCATGCTTTCTTCATTTTCCAGGCCCATGCTTGTGTTCTCTTGAAGCATGCAGGGCTGTTTGGGTCTTATCCCACCAGATCCTACATCGGAGTTACTTCCAGTTTCACTCAGCTGGATAGCTGTGAAGAGAGACAGACCCTGAGAAAAGCTTGACAGAATTACCATCTTTGTCTTGGTCTTCCAAAACTAGTTACTTGCATTCATCTATACAGGCATCTTGCCTGGATGCCTCACATCCAAGGAGCGTGTACAATCAATAGTGGCAAGATCTGTGGTATGGAAACTGAGTTCAAACAATTATTCCTTTTTCTATCTTGGTCCAATCTACCTGTTTTTTCCCTATCATCTTTTCCTATAATTTTTCCCTGCCATTGTCATTAATCCACAAAACACCCCAAAGCAGGGTCTTTTCCTCCTAATTTTCCTTCCCTACTATGCCATATAAGACATTTCTTCTAGTCTTTATCAAATATTCAAACCAAAGTTGCTACTTAGGCATTGCATTGCCTTTTCCTGCCATCTTTTAAACCTTCTTCTCCTGTTTTATTTCCTCACTTCCTCTAAGGCTAAAGAATCTGATCACCCTATGAGTGAGTCTTCAGGCCTCTAAGGCGTATAAATGGAACTTCAATAGAAGAGCAACTTCTGGCAACAGCATATGAGGCCAAGAGCTTCTTATCCAGTCCTGAGGGTACTCTGGTAAGCTATATAGGAACAGAAGCAAAGGAACCAGCTTTACCAGAGAAAGGATTATCTCCTTCTTCTTCACACCCAGCATCTTCCTCATCGTCTTCTCCTTCAGACATAAGCAAATCCTCATACAGGACTCTGGCTTCAGGTTGTTGCACAGTTCCTTCCTCTTCATCTGCAAGATCACCATCTGCATCTTCACTTTCCTGAATTAAGACCAGTTGCATGTCAAAGTCCCATCAACAGACCAAGTAAGAGACCAGAAGATGCCACCAGCCACCCTTGCTATCAGTTTCATAGGAAGTTAAGTAATTATGGTGGACAGACTTCCTGAGCTAGTAACAAGGATTAAAGTCAGATTGGACCTCCCTATGGAGACCCTCTGATACCCTGGGATTTGCCCTGCCCTGTACTACTGGGGCTTCTACCATGTAAGAGTGTAATGTAACCATAAGCTTTCTATAAGCATACTCACTGGGGCTGGAGTCTTAGGTTTCCCATCCTCCTCCTCCTCCTCCTCATACCCTTCAATATCCACATCAGAGACTTCCTCACCCAGACTACCTTGGCCCTGGTGCATCTGAGTAAGGAACACAAATAGCACATGCCTGTGGGAGTTAACCAAGGGATCTCACACAGAAGAATGCTCCTCAATGATATCCCAGTCAACCCCACAGTTAATGGGGGCTGTTTACACAGCTTAAGGCATGTGTACTTTCCCCCATTTGTTCTCTGGAAGTCATGGGTAGGGTAAAAACCCAAAGGACAGGAAGGTCCTTTGTCTCCTCTTACTGTATCACCATAAGAAGACTTCCTTTCTAACCCAAGCTTTCCTTAGCTTGTGTTGGACTCTGGGATAGAAAACCTCTCCAGAGTTTTTGCACTTGCCAGTGGAACCCTGACTGAGAAAAACTGATAGAGGATTTCTGACTTCAGATCAGGAATATCTTCTGGTATCTCTAGAAACGATCAATATTAAATTTTTCATTTTACTTTATACATAGTTTTCATTTAGATTATAGCACACATAAAGTAAAGTAGCAGGGCAATTATTTTGAACTGTCTCTGAGTGCAGCTGGTCTCTCTAGTCACCTGTCAGGTTGCTCTGATGCCTCTTACACTTCCCTGAAGTTCTGCTGTGTCTAACTCTGCCCATGGGGAGAGACAGAAGATGCCAGTCACATGATCTGCTACCATTCCACCTTGAAATTACATTTCTAAGCCTTCATTCCCAGGGCCAAGGCACACAATCATCCTTGACACCGGTCATATATCATCACTACCATTGCTCCCCACCTCAGAGCACACTACCAATCACACAAAGAGAAAAAGAAAATCCTACCTCTGTTACCTGCTTTCCTGGTGAGGCAGTAGGAATATCCAGGACAGACATATTGCTCTCATCTTGAAATACAGAGGCATCTCGAGACATACTGAGGGATGTGCTGTTATCATACAAATTGGGAGGCTGTGGCATAAATCATACAACTTAGCTTCTATTTAGGAAAGGGAGAAATACACAGAACTCCCCCTTAAAATGTTCACTGCAGAAAAAGGTCATGCAGAATTATCTGATTTAAAGAGAAAACATAGTTTGGCACAGGTTTATGTAGACAGGTTTTGGGAACCTTACAAATGTTGCTCATTCTAGCAGAGAGACGTCTGATGCACATAATCAGAAGCCTGAAGCAGAAAACTATCAAAGCTATGGGACCATTCTATATCCTAACAGCCTTTCTGGTCAATAACCTAGTTTCTTCTAAGCCTTGCCTTATTATTGTTTATAGGTCCAGGGCTTCAACCAGTGCTATTTTGATTGTTTGGTTTGGAGATCTAACAGGAAATGGGATAAAGGAATTTTAACTCCAACAAGAGCATGGAATGGGTTAATGGCTTATGAGCTCTTCAGAGGATGCTATGAGGCAAAATGGTGTGGTGAAAAGCCATGGACTTTGGAATAAACTGCCCTGGGTTCGAGTTCTGGCTCCATCACTTGCAAACTGAGTAACCTTAACTAATTACTTACTCTAAACTTTGGTTTCCTCAATTGTAAAACCTCCCTCACAAAGTCGTTGGGAGAACTAAGAGAGAGAAGTGTTAAGCCCCTTACCCAATGACTGGTATTCAATAAATTATAGACCTCTTCTCTCTTCCCTCTCCTGAAGAGAACAGGGATTTAGCAAAAGGACTACTCAGTGACAGGAGGGCAAGCAGATCAATAAAGAACAGGCTGGAGAAGTAGAGTTCTCTAAAAAGCTGGCTGAGGGCAGAAATATTATACAGCTATTTAAAAATCATGTTTTTAAAGACTACTCAATGAAATAAAGTGTTTGTAACGTGAAAACAAGACAGAAAGCCATACTGACCATTCCACTTTAAAAATGTGTCTATAAAAGCATGCACATGTGTATATACTCACAGACACTCACATCACGGACTTGAAGGAGACACACCAAAATGTTCACAGTGGTTGGTTCTGAGTGGAAGACTTGACTTTAGGCAATTTATTTATTCTTTATATTTCCCAATTTTTCCCAATGAACACATAATTTTGATCAACCAAAAATTCACATACATGATACTGTCTCTCATTTAAAAAGCAAACAAGTGAGGCTCATTGAGAAGAGGGTTTTGGAGAAAGAGAGGCAAGACAATTCAAATCACTACAGAGCAGATAAACTAGCTCTGGAACATAAGAGAAAATCAGGAATGAAAGGCTTTGCGAGGAACTGCAAAGTAAGCAGTTTTAGATAAGGGGTTAAGTCGAGTGTACGACACAATGACAAGCTAGGTGGAAACAGTTGAGTGAAAAATGCATTACTGACTACCACCATTTAGAGCTGTTAGTAAAGTATTACTCTTATGTTTCTATGCAACTAGAGTTGTATAATGCCTGGTCAAACTTTTGCAAACACTCTTTGATTAAACATTTGGGTCAGAAGAGTGGTAATGAGTAAGGACAATCACTCATGTGCATCTTCCTCAGGTTAAGAGGTAATGAACTGGGTTTACTATTTTAAAATGTATATGTAAGAGTGAAGGCGACAATGAGAGGGTAAGCTAGAAGGATGCAGCAGCAATCTACACCCCACCCTTCCCAGGAGATCCTCTAACTGCACTAAGCAATAGCTACTGCTCAAGCAGGATTAACAGTTTCCAGATTTTCCTCAGCTCTTTCAGGTAGTGTGGGAAGGGTAGGGAAGAAAAGGGAGATGGCTTTTAGGTTTAAGGCTTTGACTCACCCAATGACTAGGTTTACAGTGTCATAGACAAGAGAAAACCATGTGCCACAGAGTAGCTCATCTCTCCTGGGAAATGGTGGCTAAAACCAAGGCTTTAACTTACCAGAAAGGGCCTTGTGGAAGCTGTGGGCCTATTAGTAAATAGGGCCTTCCCGGGCAACAGCACTCACCCAAGCCCCCTTGACCCCACCTGCCCACACACAGGTCACATTATTAGTTCAGAGAAAAACCTCAGTAGAACGAAAAAAAGTTTTCCAGTGGAAATTAGGAGAATTTTGCATTCAAAGATTGGGTTGAGTCTGAAGGGGCCTCTGAGGACTTTGTAGACAACTTTCATACAGATGAGGAAACATTCACTGAATGTGTACTATGTGCAAGGCAAACAGGCTTATTTAATATTTACAACAATTTTGAGAAATACACTTGAGAGAAAAAGGAAACTGGGTTAGAGAGGTTAACTTAGCATCTCAGCCTCACAAAGCTAGATAGTAGCAGAGCTAAGATCCAAACCGAGGCCTGTTTTATCCAAACTTCATGTGCTTCCCACTTTACCATGGTGCCTCCAATCGAGAAACCAAGCACAACCTGTATTCTGGCGAGGCCATTCCTTTAAATATGCCAGCCCTCTAAGAGTACAGTATAGATGAAATACACTTAGTATATATTCAAGGGTCAGAACAGAAAGACTAAACATTTCTTATTAATCCTGCTTTCTAAACCTTTTGACATAGAAATTAAGGAATATTAAAAATGTTACCTATTTTTGTTATCATTTTTGAGGAGAGGAAGCCAATCCAGGAAAATGGGTGACTTCTGAGCTACACTAAGATGGGGATGAGTAATCAGGCATCTATAAGGCACAGAAACAATGTGGCCCACATGTATAACTAAGTCTATATGTAGTTATATAGGCTCTAGGATGTCCTAGAGCCCCAGTTCATGGGCAGGACGGCTCCAGAGACTCAAAAGGATGCCTCTGGCCATAATGGTCAGGAATCTGGTATTCCTAAATACTGCCTAAACAACAAACACCCCACCCCACTCATTCATTCCATATCTGCCTCTCTTGGATTCAACAAGGCCACCAAGACCGATGGCCCTCACTCACCTTAGCCTTTGAGAAGACAAGAAAGCACACAAAAGGCATATGAAGAGGAAGGACAGAGAGGAAGGGTATCTCAGTCAATACATTTGTTATGCTCCCAACTTCCCAAACCAATAAGAAAACTCTAAGAGGAAGTTCCTAGTCCTCAGACTCACCTGGGATGTGTAAGGGCCTGGAGTCATGGGGTCCAAGCTTTCTAAATCTGCTTCCTCCAAAGCTGCTTCTTTAGCTGTACAAATATCCTTCTCAAGTTGAGTCAAATGCTCATCATACTGAGAAATAAAGAAAATAGGTGAATTCATTCAACATGTGCTTTAGATCATGTTTACTTCCCTGTCTTCATGGAGCTGCAATTGTAGTGGCAGAACACATATGAAAATTAAAATAAGTAATTGTATAGTTTGATAAAAACATTTAATGCTAAGGAGGAAAATAAAGCATGGAAGGAAACACGGGATGTGGGGTGAGGGTGGGGGTGGGGGTGGGACGTTACACTTTAAAATTCGACAGTCAGGGAAGGCAAACCTCCTCAGACGAGGCAACAAAGGGATTCCAGGAAGCTGGATTCCAAGGGGACCTCCTCTTACACCTACCTCACTCAATGTCTGGTAACAGATGTTCACAATCTCCTGAGCAGTCTTAGTATACTGACTCTCAGGCCCTACAGATGAAAAAAGGAAATGTCACTAATTTTGTAGACTTCAGTCCCAGAAATTGAGATTCTGTAACCTACGGTAGTTGTCCCATTATCCCAGACCCCAAAAATCATGCTTCAGCTTTAACTTGAACTTGTGCTCTGCTTTTAAAGGTGAAAATTTTCAAACATATACAAAAACAGAGACACTTATATAATGAACTCTCATGTACCCATCACCCAGCTTCAATGATTATCAATACATGGTCAAGTTTGTTTCATTTATAACTAAACTTTCATACTGTTTTCCAAAATTATTTTGAAACAAATTCCAGTATCATTTCATTTCATTCATAAATCAGTATGTGTCTTTAAAGACTCTTAAAAAAATAACTATGATATTATAATGGCAGATACATCTCATTATATATGTCAAAACCCTAAAAATGTGCAACATCAAGAGTGAACCCTAATGTGAACTATGGGCTTTGGGTGATAATGATTGGTCAGTTCAGGTTCGTCAACTATAACATATGTATGACTTTGGTGGGGGATGTTTATAATGAGGGAGGCTACATGTGGAGGGGGCACAGGGTATATGGGAACTCTGCAGCTTCTGTTCAA